GCCTTCCAATGAGGAAGCAGAGTCTGGGGACTTGGGGATGGACTCACCTATCTCTGGGGCCGAGGTCGCTGAGGTGGTTAAAAAGATCCTCGGTGGCCGGGCCCCGGGAGTGGATGAGATACGCCCGGAGTTCCTCAAGGCTCTGGATGTTGCAGGGCTGACTTGGTTGACCCTTATCTGCGGCATCGTGTGGACATAGGGGGCGGTGCCTCTGGATTGGCAGACCGGGGTGGTGGTCCCCCTCTTCAAGAAGGGGGACCGGAGAGTGTGTTCCAACTATAGGGGGATCACACTCCTCAGCCTCCCTGGTAAGGTCTATTCGGGGGTGCTGGAGAAGAGGGTCTGTCGGATAGTCGAACCTCGGATTCAGGAGGAGCAGTGTGGTTTTCGCCCTGGAAACAGTGGACCAGCTCTATACTCTCGGCAGGGTCCTGGAGGGTGCGTGGGAGTTTGCCCAACCAGTCTACATGTGTTTTGTGGACTTGGAGAAGGCATTCGACCGCGTCCCTCGGGGAGTCCTGTGGGGAGTGCTCCGGGAGTATGGGGTACTGGGCTGCCTTAAAAGGGCTGTTCGGTCCCTGTACAACCGGTGCCAGAGCTTGGTCCTCATTGTCGGCAGTAAGTCAGACTCGTTTCTGGTGAGTGTTGGTCTCCTCCAGGGCTGCCCTTTGTCACCGATTCTGTTCATAACTTTTATGGACAGAATTTCTAGTCACAGCGAGGGCGTTAAGGGTGTCCAGTTTGGTGACCTCAGGATTAGGTCTCTGCTTTTTGCAGATGATGTGGTTCTGTTGGCCTCATCAGACCGTGACCTTCGGCTCTCACTGGAGCAGTTCGCAGCCGAGTGTGAAGCAGCTGGGATGAGAATCAGCACCTCCAAATCCGAAACCATGGTCCTCAGCCGGAAAAGGGTGGAGTTCTCTCTCTGGGTCAGGGAGGAGGTCCTTCCCCAAGTGGAGGAGTTTAAGTATCTCGGGGTCTTGTTCACGAGTGAGGGAAGGATGGAGCGGGAGATCGACAGGCAGATCGGTGCGGCGTCAGCAGTGATGCAGGCACTGCATCGGTCTGTCGTGGTGAAGAAGGAGCTGAGCTAAAAGGCAAAGCTCTCGATTTACCAGTCGATCTATATTCCTACCCTCACCTATGGTCATGAGCTGTGGGTAGTGACTGAAAGAACGAGATCGCGAGTACAAGCGGCCGAAATTAGTTTTCTCCGCAGGGTGGCTGGGTTCTCCCTTAGAGATAGGGTGAGGAGCTCGGTCATTTGGGAGAGACTCGGAGTAGAGCCGCTGCTCCTCCGCATTGAGAGGAGCCAGATGAGGTGGCTCGGGCATCTGGTCAGGATGCCTCCAGGCATGTCCCACTGGGAGAAGACCCCGGGGAAGACCCAGGACACGCTGGAGGGACTATGTCTCTCGGCTGGCCTGGGAATGCCTCGGGATTCCCCCAGAGGAGCTGGATGAAGTGGCCGGGGAGAGGGAAGTCTGGGTTTCCCTGCTGAGACTCGACCTTGGATCCAGCGTTAGATAATGGATGGATGGATGGATGGCTTTGTACCTCTGGGACCTGGGTTCAAGTACCTCCTGGGGTCCATGCGTATGGAGTTTGCATATTTCCTCTGGGTTCCCCCCACAGTCTGAAAACATGCTCTGACTAATTGGAGTTGCCAAATTGTGTGAGTATCTGGTGTGTGAGTGTGCTCTGCAATCCTGGGTTGTTCCTTGCCTTGTGCCCGTATCCCTGGAACCCCCCCTCTCATGACCCTGAATAGGACAGGCAGTTTCAGAAATTGGATGGGTGGAAGTTTTTGCTCCCCTTGGCGAGCAGAGCGAAACGCAACATACAAAGATGACTGTAAGATATCACATGAGATGCTGCTGCAGACACGCTTGGCATCCACCAAACCAGCACTGTATAAGTTATTGAACTTTTTGTGTGTCATCTGCTGGCCTTCGTGTGTCGTCTGCAGCTTTCTCAAAACTCCCAGAGACTACCACTCAATTTCTTATGCCGGACCTGTGATGTATGAAAACCGCAATGGGGATGCAGAATGGTCGAGTGTATTACGTATGGAAACTGAGCATGTGTAAGCTGGGTAGGATGGAATGCTGGTCTCACAGTTGTTTGGTCCTGATTTCAGGTCACCTCCGCAGGTGCAGTTTCAGTGTCCTATTTGCACCTCAATAAAGCGATCTGGCGAGCCGGCGGGCGAGCAGCCGGGGTCTATCTCCCGTCCATCGCAGTGTCAGGTTTCCACAGCCCATGCGGTCTGACCTGCTTTAAATACCGTCATCCTTTAGGCCCCGAGGGGGATGTCCGCTGGCTGCCTGAGTAGGCATAACAAGGAGGCTCGGGTTTTGCTCCGAGGCTCACGGGACAGAGGGCAGATGCACAGGCAGCAGCGAGAACCAGATACAGAGCTTTGCCCACAAGTCTTTATCGAGGTCCCAAGCAGGGCCAGCCTAACCCTTTTCGGGGCCCTAAGCAAAATTTGATTAACCTAGTAGTCATTTGTCATCTTCCTTCCCGTTCTGACAGGCTGATCAGGTTGAGCCCCACTGGTGCCTGCTGGATGCTAAGCAGCCGCTTAGTTCGCTTATACCTCAGGCTGGTCCCGGTCCCAAGTGATGGTCCCAGTATTACATGGGGGAGGGGCAATGTAAGTCATAACCGTTAATGTATGTTCTACACCCAATGTAAGGAGGCTTCTTAATCACTGATAGTGCTTTGCTGGAGGGTTAGTACCTTTGAGGACTTTGAGAGAGAGCTGGCCTGCCTTTCAATTCTCCTCCCTTCCATTTTTCGTTTGTTTATTTATTTGTGTATACCTGGGGGACTCATTTCCTCTGGCTGTCAGGTGTGTTATAAGTTTTCAGCAGAATATTTAATTTGCCGTGCGGTCTGATGTTTACAGTCCCCTTCATCGTCACCTCAAGGCACACAGTGGCCCTTTTCATCTCAACCAGGTCCCTTTTTGTTAATGAAAGCGCTTCCTGGACACCGGCGAGGCAGAGCAGCTGTGATGTCACTTCCTGTCACGCCACCATGCAAACTGGGATAACCACGTGCAATGCATTGTCTGTTCTTACGGCTCTAACAGCCTCTCTGGTTAGTGACAGCGGTCCAGTCTATGAGACAAGGGACTCACTGGGTCAAAACATGGTTCCCATTCTTGTTCCTTGAATGGCACCCTCCCCACTCCAGAATTTCCCATGCCAGGTCCCCGAGGGCTCAGGGCACCTGGGACATGCTTATTATTCTTTGTCCCATTTTTCCATATTTTTTCAGAGGGAGAGACAGGGACAGATTTTTGCCAAACTCTGTTTGTACTGTACAGAGATGACTGATGGCTTGCGGTGTGTGCTGTCCCATTAAGAAAATCAATGGGACACTCCACAGCGATTTGGGGGGTATGCATCTCTGTCTTCAGCGCCAGGGCCACGTGGAGGATACTCAGGGATACTTGGGGAGGTGCCACAGGGATGCCTCAAATACTTGAGCGATTGACTCATAAACACAATGGAGACATCTGGGTAAACTGGACAGCGCAGATCTTCCAAGCACAGCCGGATGACTGACTCGCTCTGCAAGCGTGTTCAGCTTCGTGTTGGGGCGAATGTGGACCTGTGAGCACCGGCTGGTTTGAAACATCACACCCAGCTGTGCTTGGGGAACAACAAATGGTGCATTCTTAGTGTTACTAAGCTAAGCTAACAGTGATAAAGTGACCTGTGAACTAATCACAGTTATCGTACAATGATGAATAACCGCACTTATACGACAAGCCACAGAGTAACACAAGACGAATGTATTTTGGAGTTGGATTAACTGCAGTAACGGAAGTCTGATCCGAGAGGAGAATCGCTGTGACCTTTCTGAGCCCTAACAGATCATCCTTTTGGAGGACTGTACCAGTACCACAGTGGATCACAGGCCCCGTTGCTGTGGTCAGATATTGTCACTATGGTTCCAGTTTTAGGGTGGTATGTGGAGGTATTCAACCTGGATGTACCTGTCTGTGGGGAATCAAAGCCCCCAGACTCCTGGCAGACCCGGCATATTTCTGGCTTTGCCGCCCACCCACCTGCCTCGCTATAAGGCGTACTAAAATATGCATCATCAAGTTTCATTAGGGGCCAGATCAATAATGCATATTGACTGCAGGCTGTAGAGGAGTTGGAGTGGGGGGGGGGTCCTTGTGGTATGAAAAAACACAACATCACTGTGTGCGTGTTCAGAATGGCCTCTGCTATTTTAGTCATGTCGACCTGGGGGTGGCCACTGTGAATCAAGGATCCATTAAGAACCTTCTTGACACTGCTTTGGTTGGCCATCCGCTACCCACATCTCCCAAGGCTTATCGGCAATCTGGCCGCAGCCTTGACCCGGCAGAAACAGGCGCAGAAACTGCTCCACATTACCTCTAGGTGGCAGTAGATAGTTGAAGGATTCAAGGGCGCCTCCATTTTTCTCAGAGCAAAATGGCAAACTGCTTTCTCTCTCTCGTAAATTGGAATCGATCGAGTCTGCCTCAGTTGATGACCTCGGCTTCGTCTCACATTTTAAAAGTTCCTCTCTCCCAATCTTGCTTTCTTTTTCTCGTTCACTTCTTTTTTTTTAATCCGGTGAAGCTTGCTTGGCATAAGCAACATCATGATGAATAGAAACAGAAGTGGTGCTACTTACAATACAGAACACAGTAACTCAGCAGAGGCGGAAAGGTCATTCACAAACCAGTAGCCTCTCTCTCTCTCCTCTCTCTCTGAGCTCCTAGCAAACACAGGGATGCTGATTGCTGTTCCTGAAGATCACGGCGGAGCCGGTGGTGTAATGGTTTAGAACATGCATTTGTGGCTGATGATATATGGACCCCTGGGTGACATATTTCCCAGGAATTGCATCCAAGGGCTCCATCCAAACCATTTTCCTCTGCCTCTCCTCCAGAATTCACACATCCATACTCCCTCGCTCCCTACCTACCTTCCTCCCTCCTTCACTTATTCTCTCTCCATACACCAGCTGAATTGCACGATAGAGATGATTCTATGTATGGGGGTGGCAGGGTGGTGGTTCAGTACCAGGTCTGGTAGGAAGCAGGGCTGATCTCCGCACCTGAGTCAACGAGACCTCGTTGGGTTAATTATTCCATTCCATGCTCATTTTCAGTTCTAATTAATTTGATGGGTGAGCTTTACAGGAGAACGTTGATGTGAATTACAACGAGCCTGAGTATAGCCACCGTGTCCTCTGCTATCCCTGGGACACATCAATCCACTTATTCTTCATCCCTGGTATGTGGATGCCAGGGGATTTTTGCTGCACATGGGGGTTAGTTTCTGCAGCTGGTCCGGTCCCGGGTGCGTGCGTGCGAGGCATCTCAAGGGAACACGGCAACATCTGCAGGACATGGGACAAAGTAAGAGTTTGAGAGTCTCTTCGTTCTTCTCTTTCACAGGATTGACCTCCCGCCCACCCACAAACCCCCCCCACCCTACTCTGAGAGGCCACCTCTCACCCAAGTGACATCCAACCCCGCCCAGGTGAGCGCCTTGCCCTTTCCCCTCCAGGTAACCCGCCTGACAGGTAACGTGCCTACTGATCAGGCACACACTGTCTCACAAGTGCTATTTAATACATGGCAGCTGCGTTAACCATGACCCTGGGGGGGACAGACACATCTCTTGGGATGGTGACTCCACTTCCTGATTCTGTTCTGCCTGCTCCTAGTTGCACAGAGTGAACCGGCAGTCCAGGATGACAGATAAGGCCACGTCTGAGACGGGAGTCCTCCAGGAGACCATGTTTGTAAGGGGAGCTCAAAGGCAGGCCAGGTCTGCAACAGGAACCCAAAGGCAGGCCGCATCTGTGAAGGGAGCCCTGCTGGAGGCAATGCCTGGAACGGGAGCTCAAAGGCAGGCCGTGTCTGCAAGGGGAGCCCTCCAGGAGGCCATGTTTGTAAGGGGAGCTCAAAGGCAGGCCACGTCTGCAACAGCAGCCCAAAGGCAGGCCGCATCTGCGAAGGGAGCCCTGCTGGAGGCCATGCCTGCAACGGGAGATCAAAGGCAGGCCATGTCTGCAAGGGGAGCCCTCCAAGAAGCTGCATCTGTAAGGGGAACCCAAAGGCAGACCAATCGGGGCCCTGCCTGCGAGCCACTGTCTTATCAGGAATGGGTGTGTCACCATGATGGGACCGACCGCGTCTACATCAACCACCGCGAGCACTACGTGTGATTACCCCCATCGCGTCAATAGCATCCCCCCTAGCCCCCCCCCCCACCCCTTCTCCTTGACTCGCCGTGACACCAGCTATGTAGTGGTCCAGATGTTCAGGATGCCTTAGTGAACCCAAAAGGTCTTACCTGCCCTCAACAACCAGCAGAAGTCTACAAAGCAGTAGACCTGGTGGGCTTTAATCGGCATAATAACATATCTATAGCGCAGCTCCCCATATGCCCAGTGTTATGGAACATAGTCCAGTTTATTCAGTAAAACCCAGTATAAGCTTGGATCTAGTCTAGTCTACTCTCAGCCCAAGTTTCAGTTTACTCCATTTGCCGAAACAGCTAACAGATAAGAACACAAATAGACACTAATCTACACAAACTCAGGGTAAAAATGAAGAAAAAAGCCATTTTTTAATTACACAAAATTAAATGGCTGATCTGTTCCCTGTTCTGATGGACCTCGTAATCATCAGGACACTGCTGGACATCTTACACTCACATTTATCAGTAACGTTCACATTAAAGTGTACAACTGAGCCCAAAAGTAGTTTCTGTCTGCAAAACCAGTAGGAATGCAGCTAAGCCAACTGTACCTGTTCCTAGAGGGTTATCCCCAACCGTAGATAGCCAACTGTTAAGACAACTGGCCGTTCAGTAATTTAGTCATTGTCAATAAGGTTCTCAGGTTTCAGGGTGATGCTACTGAACCCACAAACAACACCTGGACAACATTCCTCTGCTGAAAGCCTCTTGAATAAGCAGCTATCAAAACAGAAAGGCTTTAAGAGAACTAATCCTCAACGAACAGGTGATTTAAAACAATGGGGGCTTCCGTGACTATAGTGCACTATATTTGTTTCAGCTAATCACGTCATTACTGAAGTTTGACTGGGCTCTTACAAAATAATCATTCAGATGTAGTAATTGCTGTGTGTTTCTATGATATTCCAAAAGAAAAGTATTAATTACCAGCTTTGTGAATAAAGAAATTGAGTGTGTTACCTTAAATGATTTTGATTGCTTTGCAGACCTTAAACAACATCAAGCTTAATTGTATAAGGACTATGAAATCTATATAATAATGTAATGATAATGATCACAAATTGACACTCTGATTAAACATTCAAAAACTGACATCTTAAAATATATTTTAAAAAAAGGTTTATGAATGTCAGAATAAATCAGAATTCAGTCAGCTGCAGTCTGGCCAAGTGAATTAAAACTTCAGCTGAAAAAAAAAGGTGGTATTTACAGGGGTCCCGCAGAATGTGGATGAAGCTGGTGGAATCGTCATCTTTTTCTGTCTACATACAATGCCTGGCTTCAAATAAAAAAAAAATTCAACTACACTGAACAGTGTAGCTGTCACTCAAACCTGAGGTAATGTGAATGAGGACGACAGGAAGTTCCTTGAAGTCGAGGTGATGTCGTTTCCTGTTATTCTAAAAGTGTACAGTGATTGAAGACCATACAACTCGAAGTATTTCATTGCTCTACTTTACTTCATATGGTAAGAAGTAGTTCACCTTGCTGCATTGTAGCAATAAGCCTGTACTGTTTTTTTTTGAGCAAAAATTTTTTTAGTGAATTTCTTTCTGTTTATATCTTTGTAGTATATTTTATTATTCTTTTTATATGCCATGTAAATATATTTCCTGATAATTGTTTTGTTTTGATTTAGGCTTTTATAACTTTAAGAAATCCATTATTTCTGTATTTTTATGCAATTGGTTAATGTGGATTTTTAGGCAAGAAAAAACCCATAAACAAAGCATATTTTTTCGCATAATAATAATAAAAGCATTTAATTGCTCAGTATCAGTGTGGCTTTAACTCCATGTATAACGCGTGATGAATGCATGGTAGCGGTGTACAAAGTAGCATTGGCAGGCGGGACAGGAGGGCGGCCTGTCAGGTGGGCGGAGCTGAGGTGCCGTTTATGGTCAGATGTGACGGAACCTGACACTGCTGCCCCTGAGAGCCGCTGACTTGCCTGCAGAATGAGGACGCTTGTCAGGCTGGTAGGTCACAGGATGCGCCATCCGATTGGGTGGAGGGCACCGTCATCCTGACCGTCTCCCATGCTGAACGTGGCAGCATGGAGCTGCAGTCGCTGCAGTCAATAGGAGGATATGATCAGTGTGAAGCGATTTAGAGACGCAGTCAGGGTGATCAGTATGGTCAATGTGGATTTACAATCAGGGTGATCGGTGTGGACAGTGCGGCACGGCGGTCAATGTGGATTAAATTAAATATGATAAGCATTATTGGTAACAGTAATCTACATTGTCCTACACAAGGTGAGCCATTCAAAGGCTAAATAAAGAAGCACAATAACAAGGCTGTCTCCAGAGAATAATGCATCCCCAGCCAGCCTCTGGGTCTGCAAATGCTTTGTAGTCAAATAAAAGATATTCACACGGGTTGCTGTTACTATCTTTTACGAGGAAAGCACCCTAGATTTTTTTGCCATAGAAATAATAAAAGATTGATTATGGCCTTTGGCATATTTCCCGATTCTGTTGCGCGGTACCATAAATTTGCCAGCGTCGACTGGGATCGCTTCGGTTGTGACCATGAAACCGCTGGGATCCTTTCCCAGCTCTGAGGAGGACAGGTGGGCGGAAAGGCCAATCGCTGAGAGCCCTGCTGAAGAGCCACAGGAGTGGCTGCCTTCGAGATCTGTGCCATGCCCCACACTTTCACCCCCTCACCGCTTCCTCAACCTGTTTTGTGTTTAACCTCAGGCTGATCCAGTGTTGGGTCTGTCTGCAATTCATTTGTTTTTCTTGACCTGTAGTATTTTTGTTGCTTTCAAGAAGGAATTCCCCTTATGTGGCATCCGGGATTAATTATTTCTTTCCTCTGTAAATAATCGGTGTAGGACTTACCCGTTATCTGATCAAGACATGTATCTGCAAATCCACCATGTCAGAACCACATTTCTGAGGATGTCTCCTCGACGGAGGACAGGGTTAAAAGGTTCTCCCTTCTGCCATTAGAGACCATTAAACCCGGTTATGGTCAAGAAACAGAGTTGTACCAAGACCAAAACCAGCATTCCTGACTGGTCTCAGGGCCAGGCCTGGGGGAAGAGCTAATGGTTCAGTTGGAGTATGGGTCCAGTTCTGTGGGTGAGTCATAGTTTTTGTGTGAGTCCTGCCAGATTTGAAAAGAAAACGCAAATATTATCACGCTAACATCTTTGCAGGCACACACACACACACACACACACAGAGAAAATGTCCCAGTCCCCCAACATCTTCCATCATCATCATCATTGTAGGCGAGCTTGGGTCGCCTAGCAACCACCAGCCGCCTTTGGAATTTTTTTCTCTCCCTTTCCATTTTCACGCTAAATGGTGTCACCGTGAAAACGGCGAGGATTGTGATCTGGCTGGCTCTGCGCCGGGAAGCGTGCTCTCGGCCTCTGAAGGTGCTCCGGAAGATTCCGCGCTGACGCATTCTTCACGGCAGCCTGACCCAAACCCTGGGTGGTATGATGTCAGACGCCCGAGGCGCCTGACTCTGCAGAAATGCCGGGTGTCTCTCGGGCCTCATAAATTACATCCGCTCTGGGCAGCTCTGCTCCTCTTTGGCCCAGATGCTCTGGCTATGGTGGCCATCTTCGGACACCTGCCATTCTGCTTTTTTCCAAATATGTACTGAAACCCTATGTTGTTCCTTAAACATTACAGTCACTAAATTAACAACCAGCCAACCTCCCAACCAATGATTGATCACTTATTGTGGTTGGCCGGTGATCAAGTACCTGGGCCAGCATATTTCCCTATCAGGGGCATGGTTGGTACAGTGTTACTGGTCCAGCTGACCACCAATCAGGATATGCTTTAGGCTGCCCATTGGCTGACTGGCATCTGGCCAGGGATCCCATATATATATCAATATCCTGATCCCATATATATATCAGTATTCAATTGGCCATGAAGGATCTGGAGGAAAAGGAAATGTCTTTCTCATAGCTGCAAGAATAAAAGCCAACAGAATTTGGCCATTGGGGAGAGACCCACGTTAGTTTTCACTGTTGCCATTATTTGTAATTATATTAATAAAAAGCCTGGCAAAAGCTTTTTATACAAGGCCATTTGCACCATTGCCATGCATACAGCTGTGCTTTGGCTGAAGCCCTTGGATTAAATACTACATTAAGGGACATTATGGCTTTTATTTTGGCAGAGACATAGGGATGAGTAATGGAGGCAAGCAGAGAGATGAAATTAGCTCATGTAAATTGTATTAATTGCTTTATTGAACATGGAAATTAGACAATATCAATAAAATGGGCGGATCTCAGGGTGAATTTATCATCTCCTGGAAGGGGATGTCCCTGTTTATGAATATTGTCGCCAGACTTGGAGAAGTAAAATGTTTAACTAGGGCTGTGAGGTAGTGGCATGTTCCAGGAATCTAGTCTCGTGTGACAGTGTTACCTGCCACAGAGCAGCAGTTTAACTGATGCTGTTCTGGGTTCAGCATCAGTGGCAGGTGTGCGGCAGGTTAAAGTGCCTGCCTTATAAACAGGAGATTCTGGGTTCAAATCCCAGTGGTGCCTGGAGATGGTGTGTGGGTCAGAAGCATTGCCTTCCTCTGCAGAACAGTGGTGTCTATGTTGGGTCTTAAAGGGTAAATGGCTGATTCTGCAGTTAGACCCCAAGCTTTGCTCTCCCCTGTGTACATACTGTATATGTGTCTGTATGTCACAAAGTATGATGAGATTTAGATAAACAAGCACTGGAACTTACTAGTGTATGTCTGTGGTTGTGCTGATTTATGTGACCATATCTATGTTCTTTCACGAGGTCTGTCAGCCTGTGACTCAAATGTCCTCTGTCTTACTTTCTCAAACCTAGAGGGTCTAAATGTTCACCAAGAGCCATCAGGAAGCCTCCCCAAGTGGGAAACCCCATGATGCCACCAAAAAAATCACACCTCATAAGAATTTATGAGCTACTCTCAGCTGAATGTAGGTCCACGTTCCTGCCCAGCAAGGAAAATTTCATGGGAGTTCTAAAATTGGACGTGCTATTCCCTTTTACCGGATGTCTAGACGTCATTCTTTTGGAGCCTTAAAGAAAGGTTAAAATAGATGTGGTATTTTTCGTTGCATTAAATGTTTCTTTTGGCTAAAATATTTAAAACGTGAGGGTCTTTGTTCCTGGGGGGGGGGGCATGGTGGCACATGACAGAGTATCACCATAGTTTTAGGGTGATGTGATGATTTTCCACCACATCTTTTTCATGAGTGAAGAGATACAGAATCACCCAGTTGTACTGTGCTTCATAACCGATTCTCTGACCCACCAGCCATGTAGCTCATGAGCTTGAAAGACTCTAACGTCATGACTAAGACTAAAACTAAGATTAGGGGAGGAAGTCAGTCACCCCCGGATGTAGATATAATGTCACCCAGGTTTTGTTTGTTTTTTCTTTTGCCTTTACAGTGTAAAAAATATTTCTGATATTTTCATATGTCATTTGCAACCTTGGCTTCAGTGCTTTTGCCTGGTGTAATTATTTATTTGGTTTTTGTCATCAGAGGTAGGTTACACCTCATGAGGTAAAGTGGCATGTAAAACTAGTTTCAATGTTGTATCAGATGCTGGGAAAGACTGGTCATTTACTTACAGGAGAGTGTTACTTTAAGGATGCATTCCGAAATGAGGTCTGATTTTTGGAGCACGCTGTGAGCCAGTGTCTCCCATCATCCCTCACTGCAACAGGGAAATCCCCGAACCTTCAAGGACGTGGGGGCTTCCTGGGGAGCAGCAAGGAATCACAGCCACTAGGGGCACGTATGACAGCCACTGAGGCAGAGCAAGTCTGTGATGGTGAGGGCAAAAAGGGAAATAACATCAGATAAACTACTAACGCGTAATTCATTATTTGGCATATAGCACTCATCAAGGAGACCCTCAATAAAAGTTCCATTCATTGCCTATTCAAATAACCATTTTCATAAAACTCAAGGTCACCGGCGCTCTTAGCTGCGCCAGACTGCAACAGCACGTCTCCCCATACCGAAGTCCTGTAGCCGGTTTAATAAACTGCAGTTATCTGATGTGATCCCACCTCCAGTGCCGGCTGCTGTCCTTGTTCTGGGCAATTGGTGGGGGGGTGGGGGGGGGGAGTCAGCTGAATGTGCAAAATGTGAAATGAGAGCATTGTCCTACGTGTCAACGTTTGTCCTGCTGTACTCTTGCAAATTCCCAGCTTTAATGTGAGCTGCTAGGGCAGCATGACCAGTCAGGTTTGAGTTTTTTTTTCTTCAGTATGTTCGCCTTTTTTTTTTACCTCCTGAGTGGCTCTTGCTTTTACATTAGACTTCACTGCCCTCTTCTGGAAGCATTGGTCATTGCCAATATTGTGTCTTTTTTCCCCCTTCAGTAATACATTGCAATGTTTCCCTTTTTTATTTTAGTAGTTCAGCTGAGAGCTTCAATCCCAGCGCTACTCCATGGCTGCACATGTTCTTCCCCAGTGTACAGGATTCAACTGCTACTCTACCTTCCTCCTGCAGTCCACAGTCTCCGTGTGTACAAGCACAAGCCCGACAATGGACTGGAATCCACTCCAGGTGAAACAGAGTACAGGGGCAGAGGGAGACTCCAGGCCCCCTTGTGGCCATGTACTGAATAACCAGTTTGAAGATGCATTAATTAACAGTGATTGTAGGTTCACATGGTATACTCCTCATTGCTAGTATATGTTTCCTGTGTATGTCCAGTCACTCTCTGCAGCTGTGGGACACCATGCAGGCTTAATGGGCACATCCAACTTCCTGAGCTCCTGGGGATTTACAGTCAGGGGCACACTGATGAGACTGAGCAAAGTAATTAGCCTCATCCTCCCAAGCCGCAGCGCAGGTACACAGAGGATCCCCGAAAGCTCTCCCAGCATCGTGGTCGGCCCCTTGTGGCCAGTGATTCAGGATCCCACTGGTGCCCACCGGTGAGACGCAGTTGGCTGCCACTGGAACTATGTTCCTCTGGTGAGCTCAGATTATCTACCGCTGACACCTGTTTGTGAATAGACCTAGCTCTCACTATGTTTCTGTTATTTTTATGTATTTACCAGGTGGATGCTTTTCTCAAGTATGTTGTTTATAACTTATACATTTACTCTTTTAAAGCAACTTTGTGTTATATGAAGATCAAAAATTTGTTAAATTATTAAATAGATGCTGCCACTTGCCAATTGCCCCCAAACATAACGAACAGTCAGGTGAGTTTGGCGCTCTGGTTCTTGATCCTGTGAAGAAGACACAATGAGTCTTGTAGCCCAGACACAGTTCATATTCACACTGATACCTGTAGCTCTGGTACAGCTCATATTCACACTAATACCTGTAGCCCAGACACAGTTCATATCCACACTGATACCTGTAGCTCTGGCACAGCTCATATTCACACTAATACCTGTAGCCCAGACACAGTTCATATCCACATTGATACCTATAGCTCTGACACAGTTCATATTCACACTAATACCTGTAACCCATACACAGTTCATATCCACATTGATACCTGTAGCTCTGACACAGTTCATATTCACACTAATACCTGTAACCCATACACAGTTCATATCCACATTGATACCTGTAGCTCTGGCACAGTTCATATTCACACTAATACCTGTAGCCCAGACATAGTTCAGATCCACATTGATTCCTGTAGCCTGGACACAATTCAAGTCCAAACTGAGCCCTGTAGCTCAGACACAGTTCAGCTCCACAATGAACCCTGTAGCCCATACAGTTTTGGACATCCATCCATCTGTCCATCCATTCATCCATTTCACAATTAATATAATACTGTAGGTGATGTAATACAAAGGAGATTGTTGGATCAAATCACCCTTCTAGGGCTGCACCTGTTACATTTTGTAATTATCTAGCTTACACGTGATTAATACAAGAGACATGCTCAAGTCAAGCATCCAGGAACTTAACTGCTGCTAGCTTGAAAAGGTCAATAAGAGAAAACAGGAGGAAAGAAGAAAAGCCCTCCCCGAATCGACCTATGTCACACCAGAGAAATGCGTCAGTGTAGTATTGCTGGAAAAAATGACATACGCAGAAGCATCGAGGACTTCACAAAAGGAGGCAGATTTTAAATGAACTACAACTGGGCATTTAGTAAATGCCTGAGAACATGCTGTTTCACGCATGCGTAAGGCGTCCATCCTCTGTGCCGCGCAGGTTTCCTCCCACAGTCCAAAGACATGCGTTTAGGTTAACTGGCACCTCTAAATTGCCTGGCATCACGTCCAGGGTATGACCTGCCTTATGCCCCGTGCTGCCTGGTAGAGGTCCATAGTGACAATGTCCGGGATAAGCGCTTGGAAGTCGGATAATGCTGGCTTACAGTGTTGGGAATTTCAGGTCTAGAAGCTACAAATCCAGACCAAGATTTTTTTTCTCACATCCAGTGGTGGACTTTCCCGAAAGCTTCGTAAAGCTAAGTAGTTACCTAGTACATAAGATCGATCGTTAATTAGCACGCGTTTCCCCAATCCCTTCATAACTAAAGTAGTTCGTTTTCTCGTTCGTAGATTTACGAGTGCTCCGAACCACTCGGTATTTTCTACTTCGTTCTTTATTTGAACTTTTGCTTGTTGTCCTGTCCACAGAGACACAGATCGGTCAGAACAAATGACAAAAGATATTGACGCTCTTTTTTGGACAACGTAATAATGCTGATGGTATAATATGAGGTCAATATTGCAATATAAAACTAAAACGTGGACTATAAATCAGCGCAAATGGGGCTCGTTGTTGTAACACCTGTACTGTACATACCATTTCAGTACATAACAGGGACGTGCACCATTCAGAAGTGACTTGAGACTCATGTCCTTAAAAATCAAATTCAGTTCATAAATAGCTTGAAAACACGGTGCAGAATCGCAATTCGACTTTGAATATAATTTAATAGAATTAAAATGGAAATGGTTTCACATAAATTCATATACACAGTGTAACTGCAGCTTTAACAATACAGCTTAATATTTCAATATGAATTACCAAGCATGTTAACATAAACAGCATACACTGAATCCCGCCCATACCCCCACCACGTGATCACGAATATTTACGGAGGCTATGTCCCCCTGTTCGTTCATAATGAATGCCACATTTGAAGTTGATTAGTTATTTATTAGAATAAATAATTTAACTCATTTTGTGTACCATGGTGAAAGAGCACTTCATACAGTCGTAAAAGTGACACTATCACAGCCCTATCCATCTGACAACCCATAAACACAGGAAAAGCTACCGCATGCAGACTCCTCACAAATGATTACACACATGAACTGTTAAAAATGCAAAAACAATAAATATATCCTAATAATCCTTTAGGTGAGTGTATATACCAAATATTGTTAGAATAGGCTAAAACAATTACACAACTATTATCTTACCTTCATTCAAATAAAAAGTTCACTCACTAGTACATATATAAGGTCAATGTATACATCTACCATGTTGGAAGCAAATCTGTTATGTAATTATTTATGTTTTGCTAGATTAAATGACATTCATGTGTTGTATAATTGCATTGAATTTAAATTAATTAAATTAATTAAATTCTTCTTACTGTTATTTCAGCATCTTACAGGGTGTGGCCAAGTCAGTTTAAAATCCAATTCATAAATTCTGAACAACCCTGGTAAGCTAACCAATCAAACTTGCTATGTGTTCAGTCACATCTTTTGACTTGGGAAAATGAATAACTCCTCACGACCAGCAATGGCAGAGAATTCAACAGAGGAAAGCATTTGAGACGGTGCCATCCAGGAAGTCAAGTTGCTTTTGCTGGTGATCATGAGCCCCTTGGACTCTCTAGTAATGAACAATTCATAGAGAAAAACAGGCTGGGGTTTGGGTGATATGATGGGCCTCTGTCACGGTGCGGGAAGGACGGGGGCAAAGGCAGATGTTGGGGAAAAATAAAAGGGCTTTATGCAAAATAAACAAAACACAAAGGGCAAAAAGAAATGGAATGCAAGGGGTCAAAACTAGGCAAGGAGAGCAGGAGAGAAACACACTACAATAACTGGACTGGGGACACTATACACCACAGATGAGGGAGCCGACGAGAGGCACCTGGGTGGAGGGCTGAAATGAAGCAGGGTTCAACGAGGACCAGGAGTGGCTCGGTAGCACCACACCGCAGAGAACATGGGGGGGGGGGAGAGACCATGCAGGGCGTGACATCCTCCTTAGTCTGGTGCAGGATAAATTGCCCTCAGTGCACCTTGCAGCTTCTGGCAGCTCTGCTTCTATGCTACAGGTGGATTCTTGCAGATCATAAGTGATGCACATAGCCTCTGCAAAGCTGCTGTGTCCTGCAACTGTGCATGCATTGATCACATTTCTGCTGCACCATGCACACAACTACATGTCTAGCAGGAGGGGGTGCCTTGCATGACACTAAAATTGCATTGTAGATTCGGTGGATGGAACCATCAACCATATTCATGTTTGCAGCCCCTTGAATGTCCAGGTGATATGCAGCCATCAAGGACATTTTACAGACATTATCGGCCAGTGGCCTGTGAGTACATATGATGCTTATATCTGGTCCAGGTTTGCAGTGTGTCAGATGGCAAAGGATGGTGTGTTGGCTGGTGGCTGGTTATTGGGAGACAGCAGGTATCCTCTTAGCTAATGCCTGCTGATTCCAGTGTCGAATCGTCAAACCATGACTGAGGAGAGGAATAACGCCACACACCAAAGAACACACACTGCTCTGGGCATGTGGAAGATGTGATTTTGGTGCCAACACAAGTCTTTGGGAGCTCTAAGGTTTCCCCCTGAATGCTGTTGTGCTGTTCTTGTTGTGTATCATGCTGCACAACATTGCAGTAATTATTTTATTTAATAATATTTTTGACCACCTCCTCAATAAGTTGTTTTAAGGCTTTTGAAAAGTGCTACATCCTTTTCCTATTGCTGCTCACCATTCCGTTTTGTTTATAAGGAAGCAACATCACATTTTGAGCCCGTTTTTCAACAGATGGGTTAATTTATTTTGTTCATAAATATTGGTTGCTTTGGTGTCCTTTTGTTGTTTTTTCTAATTATTGTATATTTTGTTTTACATCTGTATATGTCTGGTGTGACAATCTTATAACATAGTTCACCATTGAAATACGTGGGATCGACTTTCCTGTTATTGACAGCCTGGGATATTCCTAGGCGGAGGCTGGGGAGGAGCCAAATACGGAGTACTAAGGAAATTCGTTAGTTATAATTCTGGAATAATGGAGGGTTTTGGGAAACGCACGTAGACCTCGCTCGTTCTTTGCTTACGTCGTTATTCGCCAAGATCGAACGCTTTCGGGAAAACACCCCTGGTAGGCTGAAACAAAATCTTGGTCTGGATTTATAGCTTTTGGACCTGAAATGCCCATCACTGCTGGCTGAATGCTAAATTTCTGAAAACATTCAATTTTAAGTCGTGCACAATCAGACAGAAAGATAAAAGAGGAAGTTGGCTTCACAGAAACGGGCGGATTACCTTTTGTTTCACCATGGTTGGTTACCTAGCATTTATTTTTTTTCTATCTGATTCGCTTTCAGCGCGGAGGATGTATATGGCAAACTCTTAACCGGGCTATAGTTCGGGGGGGTGGGTTTCACAATCTAGACAAACTTCCACGAAGATTGCACAGCATCAGAGTTTTCAGCTAAGGTTTGAAATGTACTATGCTCTTTTTGGTGTGAAGTGGTGCTTTACTTTTAGTAGTGTTTGCTGTGTTTCTTGAGGTGTCAGTGTTATGATGCTGTGCTTGTGATCGAAAGGTCGGCAGTTCAATTCCTGTGTTCGGCACAGTCATTTCAGCACAGCCCAATTTCCCCAGGGACTGGCTGACCTGTTTGACGCAAGTGCATGTCGCAATGGATAATGGATAAAATAGCCTGTTAAACATATTTTAAATAACCCTAGCTTTGCATGTGCGTCTTTGCCCGCTTTAAAAAAATGTAATTATTTCCTGTTTCGAGCAAATTGCAGGATGTGGGTGTCTTTGTGCTGCAGTTTTTCACATGCACGCCTATGTGGGGTCCGTCACTGGTACTCGATCAGCTCAGCAGCCCTGAATTTGGACGAAGCAGAGGTCAGGAAATTTGCAGGATGTGGAAAATAGTGTTCGTTGCCCTCGCCATTGTGTCTGACATCCAAGGTAAGTGTGAGAAAGTCACTTTGTTCTTCTCATTGAGCGGAGGTACAGGTTGCAGATGTGTTTGAATGCGGGACGCAAGTAAGCGCCAGCAAATGACAATCACACACTTTGATCTGTTTGCCTCTTGCTGCTGGGTCCAGCTTGAAAGGCAGTTTTACCTCTTTCACAGAATAACCGGTGCTGAGGTCTGAGCCTGAGGTAGCAGATATGGAAGTAGAGGCATATTTTACCCTTCTGCATCTTTGTGTGTGAAATTGCATAATTTATCATTTTCAGCTGCTGTTTAAACCAAACGATGTGGCAGCTTGTCATCACGGTTATTGAATGATCTGGAAATTCTGCTTTTCTGTCATGTCCACTGTTTGTACTATATTATATTTCGGGTAATGCAAACTTTTTTGAGAAGCAATTCTACCATTGGGCTGAGGTGTTACAGGAAACCAAAAAATTATGTATAATGTGTCACAGAGAGAATAGTTTTAGAACAAACAGATCTCAGCCAAGTATCGTCTAGACCTCGCTTTCCCAAAGTGGGGGGGGGGTCATGAGAGGATTTCCAGAATGTTTATAACATATTAATAATGTGGGAAAAAAAAGTTCAGTTTTAACCATAACCGCAACCGGTCATTGCTATAAATTCTACAAAGGGGGATTTCCTCTGTCAATCTGCAAAATGAGGGCTATTTCAGGGGTTGGGGGCTGAAAAGTTAGGGGATCCATGACCTACACTAGTAGTTCTCAATCCCCCCCCCCCCCCCCCCCCCCGCCAGAATGTTTTCATTCCAACCCACCCTACTTTCAACCTGCCACCTTCATTATTAGCATATTAAGGACAATATGAGGCTGATTAAGGTAGGGTTGGAATGAAAATATTCTGGCGGGGGGTGACAGGAACAGGACTGAGGACCACTTGGTCTAGACAAAGTCATAGAGAAGTGAATTTCAAGCATTTTATCGTCATTGTATTACACACTGAATTTCCTTTTATGACAACCCCAAGGTGCATAAAAAAACACACAGAGGAATTCAACACGCTGAAACGTGTCTGTGTTGTGTTCAGACTTCCAATAAAACCATGTTGAAGCAAAGTGCGACCTCTTTGTATACAGTGTTAAATGTTCAAACAGATTATTTCTAACCAGTAGAGAAAAGATGTTCAAGAGATGGCAGATCAGTGTTCACAGTGGCCTATGGTGTTTTTACACCTCGCTGCAGGGCTTTTTTAGTAGCTTTGGTGCTGCTGCTGCACCACGCTGTCATGGAGTAAATCGAGATGCTCTCTAGCACATCTGTAAAAGTCAGCCAGCAGCTTCTGGGGGAGGTCATCCCTCCCGCGATTGGTCTCGTTAGTGGTCCCAAAGTCATGAAGTTTAATCAGTCAAATCAAATTTTCTTCATTCCCACCAATTTACTTAGATGAGAAAGCTGACCCATAGCAGACGAAAGCCATCCCAGAAGTAGAGGAGCACTTACTGGCAGAGTAAAAATCCGGGGTTATCCTTTGCTGGACCATTGGCTCTCAAATCACTTTCCCACGAATTGAAAGATTGTGTGTCTGAGAGAGAAGCGGAGAGGGAGGGTAGAGTGTAAATAGCTGTCTGTAAGTCGAGAAGGAGGAAATAGCAAGTGAGATTGTGTGTGTGAATTAGTGATGGTGGAACTTGTTGCTTGAAAATGTGTGTGATTGTATGCAAATCAGCACTTCATAAATGTAATTATTAGTCAATATAAGAATGCAGGGCACATTGCTTTCTGACTGAAAAGTGATTGGGTCGTCCCTCTCTCAGGAACCCAAGAATCGTGCATGACCGTAGCGACGGGGGCAACAGTGACGCTCCCACTGAATTACCCAGACTTTACGATGGATCATGAACTGATATGGAAGCACAACTTTACCACCATCTTGAAGAGGAAGAAGCAAAACGTCATCTTGGGCCAGGAAAGCAGTATGATGTCAGATGGCTCATTGAGGCTCATTGACCTACAGTTACGCGACACGGGGAGCTACCAGGTGGAAGTCTATAACTCAAATGGACTACATGTCAAGCAATCATCTGTGACCCTGTGTGTCTTGGGTAAGTGAGAAGGAGCACTTTCTCTACAATTACTGGGTAGCAGGCGGCATATTGGTTCACAAGCTGGATTTGAAACAGCTTTGAATTCTTGAAGGGTTGAGTGATGTGGTTCCCTTGAGCAGCATGTTTAATTCCGTTACTTTTTAACTGTGACCTTTTGGCCTTATGTCTCCTAGAGAAGGTGTCAGAGCCTACAGTGAACTACACCTGTAGGATACAATTGGTTCTTACCTGCCACTTGGAGAAGAAGCCAGGCAATGTGACCTTTGAGTGGACTCGCAATAACATCACGGTGGAGAGGGAAAATGAGGAAACACTCAGAGTGGACGGGAAGTCGGCATCCGGTACATTCTCCTGCAGAGCAAGGAATGAGGTTAGCGAGGAGAGGAGCCCCAGTGTTACTGTGACGTGTGGTGACCTGGGTCCTACTATCTCCACCTTGAATCGACAGTCGATTCCGTCTGGTTACGACCTTCCTACCCCTTGGCTAAAACCACTCCTCTTATCTGTCTTCTGCTGTCTCTTAATGACATATTTCTAAATTCGATTTAAAAAAAAAAAATAATGAAACGCCAGGGCTACAGTATATTGGTGGTCATGATTTAGAGTATTTTTGTTTTTCCTGTTAACTCCAGCACTGTCAGACCTGTGTTTGTATCTGTAGGGGCTTCTGTCAGGTGAGCAAGCCATTCATTTAACTTAACCTTATTTACAGGAATATAAAATTAGCTTCTGCTTTTTTTCTCGTGTGCTCTTGTCTGTAGGCGTTACCACAGCCTGTTTCTTTCTTTACGCTAATGCCAAAAACGTTCTGCTTTAATTTCATTCCCACGTTTCTATTCAATCTCCACTAATATACTTAAATAAAATCCAATGGTCCCATTTCCCACTTACAACATTCTGTTCACCCTCCTGCATGGAATCTTCTAGCATTAGCACAGATCAGAAACAAGGGGTTTTAATTGATTTATGATCAGCAAAGATATTTCTGTGACTAATGTAAACTCACCTTGTGTAGGGCAAGTGCAGCATCACGTATAGGACATCTGGATTCATACTGAAAGCCCGTATATTTGGATATACTGTGTAACTCATTCTTATATAGGAGTGTTGATCCCTTCCCCACACGCACACACACACAGACACACGCACACGCATGTGCGCACACACACAGACACACGCAGAATGCCCTGTGGTTGACAGATGAGGCTGTCCCTATTGTAGTTTTTTTTTCCTTTTCACATGTCTTGCAAGCATATAAAATTTTGGGCAGCATTAAGTTGAAGGGGTCCTCCTGTCATCTGAAGTTTTCACTAAGCCAGTGCAATAGCAGAATGCTCATGCAGTACAAATGACTTTTCTTACTGTGGTAATAAAAATTCTTATTGGTACTTCATGGAAAGCGTGATGTCAGATCATTATTTTAGGCAGTGTATTTAATTTTGACCTTCTGCGTGTTATTATGAGAAACTCAGCTTTAATTTAGTTTCAAAAAAGCCAGCGCAAAGGCCCACATGCTTAACAGTAGTGAACATCAGTGGAGAATAAACAATATCATATTATTCAATCATGTCATTTTTTAATTGATAACCAGAGATGTTAGACATATTGCCTATAAGTCCTATTTTGTACTCTGGCGTTTTAAAATATATTCATGCACACACAAAGTAATACTGTAACTTAATCAAGTGAATTTCAACTGTGAAAACTTAACATGTTACAGTTATGAAGCTGTGAAAGGCAGTGCAAAAGAAAACAAGGCAATCTGCAGATATATTTGGACTAGGAAACGCCATTACCGATGATGATGCAGTAATAAAGAGAGGAGAGATATGGGCTGATATTAAGATATAGCAGTGCCGGTACTGCTTAATTTTTATTACGTATATGATCCCGCATTTGCGCTTGCGACACCCCGGCACGCGCCTCCTCTTTACCCCGACCTGCAGAACTAGTTTCTAGTGGCACAAATAACAGCCCATAGGACAGGTTTTGAGACGCCTGATGTACCAAACTCAACCGACACAGAATTCCAGATGAGTCAGATAAATAACATTGTGCTCTTCTTAGCACGTTAGCAGTAGCTGCTTTATTGTATAGAGCTATTCACACAAAATGTGAAGTTCATGCCGACAGAGGACCCCTAGAATGATATGTGTAAGTCATCTTAAGGTGCTCTTCCACTGGCTTATAGGAAATGAGCCACATCCAAGGTGTACTGCAAAATGCTTGCAAAGAAGAAGGGGAGGTGGGGGTGGGGGTTGCTGAGGTACAATGCTGAAACAGAGACTAGATTAAATGAACTGTAACCCATATTGTCACACAAATACTCAGGATCCAAACACGCTTCTCCTGCTTGGGCCCATTTTCAAGAGAGATGTGCCACATGCAAAAGTTTATGTACCCCTGCTAAAAACTTGGATTTTATATGATGTTTTTCTGTCAACACATAACAGTATATGAAAGATAAGGCATACCAAATCTATAGTCAATTAATTTACATTTATATGTTTTGCAGATGCTTTTGTCCAAAGCGATGTGCAAGTGAGGCAAATAGCACAAAATTGCATAATAAGATGGAAAAACTAGCTGCATGTTTTCGATTCCTCAAAATAGCCACTTTCTGCAGCAGGAAGTCACCTAATGCATCTTTGTTGTTGTTTTACCCTAGATAGTAACCACAGATGTAAGGTGCCTGTGGTTTGCTATGAGACTTCTGACCAGTTCATACATATGAGTTCTATGGAACTGAGATCTGGAGACTGGGCAGGCCAGATCATTGGCTGTCCTTTAATTTCCATCCTTTTTCATTTCCTTCTAAGATTCTTAAACAAATGTTGGTTGTTCTGAAGAATGAGCAGTTATCCAATCAGCTGTGATCGTGATCGAATGGCATGTCCTTGAAGTACGCTGTCACACTCCAAAATGCAAAACACCCGAACTGCATATTTTATCAGAATTTCCTTATGACCAAAATGAGGTTTCTTAGGCTCTGTATTACCTGGTGACAAAATGTCTTAGTTCAGTTATGCTTGTTTTTGCAGAAAATGCTGTCATTTACCTGCCTGATACACATACAGTACAGGTGGGCAGTCAAAAAAACTCTTTTTCTCAGACTCAGTGTCAACATACTAACTGTTTGTTATTATGTTGACACATAATAATATGCTTTGACAACCACGGCATGGATTTAGCAAAGATCAGCAGCTCTCTCCTACGTAACCCCAGATCATGGCACTGCTTCTTCCATGCTTAACTATAGGGAATTTCAAATTTTCGTTCATTAATTCAGGATACCAATTTCCACTCCTGTTAGTAAACACATTTAAAGCTTTCAGAGCCATTAATAAGACCACATTTATCTCCATCAAGATGCTCTTAAAAGTTTGCATCTCACCTTCTATGATCTACTAGCTAGTCCCAACTGGAGATCCCTCCATCATGGAAGAAATCTAACTCCATTTCTGGTAAGTAGTTCATCATATTACCTGTCAGGAACACCTTAACAAGTCTTACATCTGCTATCCTGCTCTGTGATCCCTCAGCTGATCTCTTGTGTCTTAATTCTGTCGAGTGTTGCACTTTACCTTGATGTGAATTGCTGTCTTATTAGATTCTTGTTATTTTTGGGCCTTGTGATGGCTGCCCCCACAGCCACACAGCTAATTTGAAGGGAGGTATCATTTATGGTCATTTGTTATTCTATTCGAGTTTGTTTAGTTTAAGTTGCAATATATTGGTAATTAACATTTAATTTGTTTATGCATTTCTTTATTTGGCACATTTAACCAGTTTGCTAGATGAGGCACATTTGGTTAACTGGAATAATGTGTTGATTATTTATTGAGTTTAGTTGTTTCTTTTGATTTACCGTGTGTGGAGTGCAGGGGAGGATTCTTGCTGCTCCAGGCAAAAGAGGTGGCCAACAGAGGTGGAAACTACAGGTCCAGAAAGTACAAATCCAGGCCGTGATTTAGTTTCAACCAACCAGTTGAGCATAAAGAGTCACAGTTACAGAGTACTCCACTGGTTGGTTGAAACAAAATCCTGGTCTGGATTTGTACTTTCTGGACCTGAAATTTCCACCTCTGTTGGCCAACATGGAAGCTGGACTAAATGCAGAAAATTGGACAACTCCAACTGGCTCTTTACACATGACAGACCTGCTGTAAATGAAATAATTAAAGTTTCAGACAAGTGACTGATACTATACATTCAGCAGCTATGCAAAAGTTAGATATAGCAGATTTCTATGGATGGTGTTTTGTGGTAGTATTCAATAAATTAGTATGTCATTTAGTCAATGAAATTTATAACATATTGTAGTGCTAGAGAGATGGGTCACAAATAATGGAGGCCTTATCCCAGCATGTTCGTATAAATAGCCTAGAGCTGGGTGACATGGCCAAAAATGTTATGATAAAAATCATTTGATAATGATAATTATCACGATGAATGTCAAATCGTTATTTCTTTCCAGTTTATAAGCAGATTTTAAACTCCTGAGTTTAAAGATTTTAAACTCCTGAGTTTAAAGGTGAAGAAACCAGATGGTTAATTGTAGTCATAAACTATTCCTTATTGTCAGAATATAACAAACACTTGCCCAACAGTACTGATGGTCACAATGACGCATGTGGAACACTGTGCTCTATTTTTTGACCCCACTAGAGCTATTTTGTAACCACATGGAGCTCTGTTCGAAAAAGGTTCAAAGCATGCCCAAAAGGAAACCAAAAGCACCATGTGAACTCAAGAAATACTGCAAATGGTTCATGAAGCGTCATTTTGGTCAACATTACCAATTAGCATTTTGCATTTCACAAGTTCATGAGAAGTTGAACAGGTTATTTTAGTCAGTGCCGAAAAATCTCCGCCACTGGCTTTCTTCCTGTCCTTTCTTAATGCTCTGTGGATTAGTACTGTGTGGATTTCTCACGGACTGAATTTTACTGTGGACTTTCCTTTTGGGTTTCACTGGATTACCCTTATCGGACGGACTGCTTTGGACTTATCTGATCCTTCGATGAGTCGCCCTGTTGTTTTGACTGTGTTGTCTTTTGTTCGGTGAGGGTTGGACTCCGCCAGGGCTGCCCTTTGTCACCAATTCTGTTCATAACTTTTATGGACAGAATTTCTAGGTGCAGCCAGGGCGTTGGGGGTGTCCAGTTTAGTTACCTCAGGATTAGGTCTCTGCTTTTTGCAGATGATGTGGTTCTGTTGGCCTCATCGGACCATGACCTTCGGCTCTCATTGGAGCAGTTCGCAGCCGAGTGTGAAGCGACTGGGATGAAAATCAGCACCTCCAAATCCGAGACCATGGTCCTCAGCCGGAAAAGGGTGGAGTGCTCTCTCCGGGTCGGGGATGGGGTCCTCCCCCAAGTGGAGGAGTTTAAGTAACTTTGGGTCTTGTTCACGAATGAGGGAAGGATTTAACAGGAGATCGACAGGCGAATCGGTGCGGCGTCAGCAGTGATGCGGGCGCTGCATTGGTCTGTCATGGTAAAGAAGGAGCTGAGCCAAAAGGCAAAGTTCTCGATTTACCAGTCGATCTACGTTCCTACCCTCACCTATGGTCAAGAGCTGTGGGTAGTGACCGAAAGAACGAGATCGCAAATACAAGCGGCTTCAATGGGTTTCCTCCGCAGGGTTGTTGGGCTCTCCCTTACAGTTAGGGTGAGGCATTTGGGAGGGACTCAGAGTAGAGCCGCTGCTCCTCCGCATCGAGAGGAGCCAGATGAGGTGACTCGGGCATCTGATTAGGATGCCTCCTGGACGCCTCCCTGGTGAGGTGTTCCGGGCATGTCCCACTGGGAGGAGGCCCCGGGGAAGACCCAGGACGTGCTGGAGGGACTATGTCTCTCGGCTGGCCTGGGAACACCTCGGAATTCCCCCAGAGGAGCTGGATGAAGTGGCCGGGGAGAGGGAAGTCTGGGTTTCCCTGCTTAGACTGCTGCCCCCACGACCCGACCTGGAAAAGTGGTAGAAGATGGATGGATGGATGGATGGATGGATGGATGGATGGATGGAAGATTTTGATCTATCATATTCGCATCCAAATATTTCGCAAACTTATGTCGCTTTTTTTGGGTCGTATTCGGTGTGAGAAGTCCTTAAGACATGCAGGCACATACAATTAATGTACCCATGACACTAACTTAACCCTGAACTTGTGCAGAGGGAAGCCCATCCACTGTCTCTTGAAGTTCTCCTCTAGTATCTGGAAAAACACTTTTGCCTTGTTCATTTTAAAACTCTTGTTACATAGTACCTCTCCAAAGTACCCAAAACGACCCAAAAAGTTTCAACACCAATAATTGACACGTGACGTTCTCAGCGTCCTCTGCAGTGGCTCATGACAAGTACGTGGAAAGACACACCACACCACAAATGTCATATTATATATTAGGTCACGGATGTGTTGAACCCACATATCCGCGACTGCGGCTCACTTTGGGTAGTGACCCGTAGTTTGGGAGCTCCTGCTCTAGTTCTCTGTTACACACAGCAGACACTATTAATAGCACATTCAAACTGAATTAACAATGCATTTATCCCCAAGACATTTTCAACTGCTGATTTTCCTTTATTCAGGTGAATATTTAGCTTTAAATTTTATTTTTAGATTTTTAATAAAAAAATTTAAAAACTACCGGTGTCCAGACCTCCATGACCTCATAGCTGGCTATGGCCCTGCCCGTATGTATTTGTTATTGTAAGTACTTGTACATCAGAATCTCCAACTCTCACACATCTGGCGTGACACTCACGCTTTCTGACTCTGAGTCCTTTTAAGGGCTAGAATTAAAGAGTACATTCTCTTTAAATTGCTGTTATTCTATTTCAGTTCTTCCAGACCACCAGTGGGCAGTAGATGAACTGAGCAGTTCTGCTCCTGCTGGTATTATATTGTGGAGCACCCGAGTGGAGCGGCTCTGCTCCTGCTGTTCTTATTTTCGAGTGCCCGTGTGTGTTCGACTCTTTCTAACTGCACTTATACCGGCTGCTCTCTGGTGTGATCGGCTCCGTTCTAGCAGCTGTTTATCGCCCTCGGGTAGCGGACTGTGCGTGGGGTGCCCGCTCCCATGGCGCTATGGATGCCCTAGACAGCCGTGACTGCTGCCCTACCTGCCTGGGTCTTACTCATTTGCGGGATGTGCTGACCAACCCGTGCCCGGCATGCAGCGTTATGTCCCTGGAGCTGCGTCGTCTACACTACACCTGGACTCTGATACCCTCCGTCTTCCCTCAGGAGTGAGGAGGAAAAGGGATGCTGCTGGCCGTCAACCTCCTCTACATGTCACGGTGTGACCCACAGTGATCCACAACCCGGGTCAAATTCGGGCCCTTCAGCTGGACCTTCTCAAACTCTCACAAAAGGGTACAACAGAATGTGTGGACCAACAGACTCAGCCAACCGTTTTTTTATTTATTTATTCCACCTACTTCCTTGTCAGGAAGAAGGATGGCAGCTCCAGGCCCATTCTCGATCTGAGGGGACTGAACCAGTACCTCAGACTCTTGCTATTCCAGATGTTCTGCCCCAGGGAGGCACCATGTCTGGTACATGGTTCACCATGATTGACCTCAGGGATGCATTTTTTCATGTTTCTGTTCCCAGCAGCATCAGCGCTTCCTGCGGTTTGCCTTTCATAGGAACTTCCCCGGTACCATACTCTCTCATTTGCACTCTCCCTAATTCCGTGGGTGTTCACACATTGTGTGAAGATAGCCGTAGACCCCATACAGTGCTGGGGTATTGTGGTCTTGACATATCTCGACGACTGGCTCCTGGTTGCACCTTCTGCACAGCAGGTGGCTTTGGGAACCCAGCAGTGGCTGCAGCATGCGACAGCCCTGGGTTTTACCGTCAACTGGGAGAAGAGCTCCCTTGTTCCCTCCCAACAGTGGAGTTTACTGGCATGGGCCTGGACTCCAGGCAGATGCTGGCCTCTCTTACTCCAGCCAGCAGCTTATACTCAGAACTCAGTTCCGCAGGGGCCTTATCTGATCTTACTCCGCCTGGTGGGGTTGCTGGCTGCAGCTCAGCCTCCTCTATCTGTGTTCCTTCCTACGCTGGCAAGGATCCTTGCAGTTGACTCCAGTACGAGACAGGCACACCCTTCAGGATTTCTCACAGCCGCATCGGAGCACTGCACGGGGAGCACTGCATGGGCAGTGCCCTTTGCACCCCTGCCGAAGTAGAGGGAAGTGGTGACAACAGATGCATCACTTCTAGGATGAGCCCCCTCCCCCCCATTCTGGGGGCACCTGGGGGCTGGAACTGTGTTCGCAGCACATAAATGTTGGAAGTGATGCCTGATTGGCTGATGCTTCAGCACTTCGAAGCAGTGCTGACCAGGGAGACTAGTGCTGCTTTGGACTTACAACACATCTGTAGTGTTTGGCTGGGGAGATCGCGTTCCACACGGAGTCTTACCCTAACACGGCACCCCGTGTGTCTCAGCAGGGAGGTGGCCAGTCAGCGTGCCAGACATAGGACAGGGTGGAGGTGGACTCCGGCAGTCTGGAACCCTACTGGATGCGTACCATGTGCACTGCAGCAGCGGAAAGTGCTTATTTTCATTTCTGCATCCATGATAACAGATTAGAGCGGCCACACTCCCTGTCCGAGACGTGTGGCTCATGCCTCACTGCAGCGGCGCCTCATCTGGAGAGTGGGAGTGGCGCCTGGTTTTCATGCGCGCGGTAAGTGGCTCTCAGCAAAAACAGACAGTTAAAAGATCTGTTGATAGTCATACTGACATCATACCAGCAAAAATTCATCACTATAGTTTCAATGTCTAGCCTGCATACCATAGACATGAAAAAATATTAATTATTTTAACTATTTTTCTAGTTGTGTGTTATTAAAGGAGAAAGAGGAGGCTATATGTATACCATATAATCAGAGCTGCAAACCCAGTGTAGGCTATAATTATGTCAATTCCACACTTCATCTGTTGTTGTGAGCTTAGTTTTAAAGTGCACTGAAATTATTCATATTATTATTATTACAATTGAGTACACGCTTCTTAACCATTGTATTACATAAATTTATAATGAATTGAGATCAAACATTGTGTTGTTGGCCATTACCAAAGGTAAACTGAATGTAGAAAGACGGGGCCTGCAGTAGCAGCACGGCAACAGCCATAGGCGGTTTTAGACAGGGGCCAACAGGGGCCAGTGCCCCTGTACAACTGACACTGGCCCTTGTTGTGGGCCCTGTGCTGAAGAGATAATAATTCAAGATTCTTTATTTGTCACATGCATAGTTATACAGGTACAACATGCAGTGAAATGTATCCTGAACCGTAATTTATGAATTTCTTACGGTGATATGCACTGGCACGGACGCCGGAACTAAAACGACGCGGCGTTCCACACGGACACCTTAGAGCGCTACACGCTCACTGCTTTGGCTGGAGCTGTTTGAGCAGCAGCGCGATAAGAAGAAGAAGAAAAGATGAAAGGAGAGAGAAGACCTGCAGCGCGAATTTTGAAAGTCGAATAAAGTAAAAAAAAAAAAAGTGAAGTAAAGAGTCAGAGGTAAGCAATACGATTCAATTTCGTAACGTCAATGTTTGCACGTATTCGCGTGTTACTGTTGTTGTTCACTACGACAATGAAATCCAGTTTCATTAATTTAACATGCGCTTAATCCAGTCCCTCCAGGATGTCACGGGCATGAAAAAATTAAATGGTATGACAGTCATCCTTGGGTTGAATACACTATAATGATGGACTCCGTGAGTACCAGAAACTAAGCTCTGTTAGTCAGAGGGAGCTAGATTGTGATAAAGAAACGTTTCGGTCTTCGTTTTTTAATCCTGTCATGGACTGCATGCTTAGTGAATTGAGCAGACGTTTCTCAAAGACCAACTGTGAGCTGATGTGCAGTATTCGATCTCTCAACCCCAAGAGTTATGCATTTTTGAAAGACACCACTTTGTTTGAATTTGGTCGTCTGTATCATGCCAACATTGATGACCGGGAGGCATGAACTGCATCAGTTCAAGAGACTTTTGGTGAAAAAAATACAGAGTGATGTGATTCAAAAGCCATCCGATACAGTGCAGTTCGTCCGTTTCACTGAGCCGTACAAAGACGTATTTTACGAGCTCTTTAGAAATAGCTGTGGCGCTCCCAGTGAGTTCCGCCACTTGTGAGCGGAGTTTCTCCACATTAAATCTAGTAAAAACCTACCTCCGGTCCACTATTACTGATGAGCGTCTTAGCAATCTTGGGGTGCTCACCATTGAATCTAGAAAGGCCAAGGCTTTGAACCTTGATTCATTTGTGGACCGTTTTGCAAGGAATCACAAACGCAGAATACTGTTATTGCAGTGTTACAGGCTACTGTGTTGCAAATGCTAGAGGATGAGAGACCATTGTATTTGATTTACATTTTTCTTTCTTCTCAGAAACAGAACAGAAACGGAACAGAAAAGGTGACTATGTTTAAGTTTCATGCTGTAAAAAAGTCACTCTAACAAAATAAATACATATCTACATAAATAAAAAAATAAAAACATAAGAAATGTCATTGTACAAAAAAAGTGATTGTGCAGAAAAAGAGAAACATTACTGTACAAAAAAGAAACAGTTTCAAGGTTTATTGTGCATATGTACAGTATGTGAAATCTTTTATTTGTCTTATTGTTTAATGTTCATTTTATTTTGTTTGTGTTCCAAATGCATTCACTTAATTAAACATTATTAAACAATTAGATATTGCCCTCTTTTTTTGTCCTCATATGTGCCCCCCTGAAAAATCACTGGCCCCACCTTGGCCCCCCTGGTAAATTTGGTCTAGAACCGCCACTGGTCCAACAGCAATGCGGGTGGCGTGGGCTCGGTCATGGGCGGCGTGGCATGGGCGTGCTCCATGCTTTAGCTTTACGGCAAAATGGGTTCAGTGCCATCTACTGGTCAGAAACGGCGTGAGTCTATAACACTAAGCGCATGCTGAAGGAGATTTAGATTTCCCTGCTGTGGGAAAGTTTGAGTTTGTCCTAACCCTATCCCAGTAAAATAATAGCATAAAACTGTTTTAGTTCCCTTTATTTCTGTCATCATTTCCTTTTTTTCCTTGGTATTTGCCGCATACTGTCACATTAAGCTGAGTTAGCAATGCGGTGCAGCTTGGGTATAGTGTCTGGGTTGACGTTAGTGGGTGGTATTGCAGGGAAAAATCACGAAAAGATGTGAACTGTAAAAAATTACAAAATGGATGATGTGGTAGTAACTTAATGGCGACATGTGAATGTGTGTTCATGTATTTTCTTTTTAAAGATCTATTTGTACTAATGATTTCATGTTTTATTAATAGAAGTATGATCACTTTGATCGTCTGATAATTATTTATTTAAATATGGCTAGTATAAAGACAGCAGATTTAGATTCCCCTGCTGTGGAGTCACTACGCTGACCGTTCCTTTAATAACTACCGTATATGGTCGCTGAACTCGTGTGATATGAATGGGACAGAACACAATAGAGGGGTGACACAAGCCTCATATCACCAAGCACAATGCCAAGCATCAGATGGACTGATGTAAAGCACGCCGTCACTGGACTCTGGAGCAGTGGAAACATGTTCTGTGGAGTGACGACTTGTGCTTCTCTGTCAGGCAGTCTGATGGATGAGTCTGAGTTTGGCAGATGCGGTTACCTGCCTGACTGCATAGTGCCAACTATAAAGTTTGGTGGAGGAGGGATAATGGTATGGGGTTGTTTTTCAGTGGTTGGACTAGACCCCTTAGTTCCAGTGAAGAGAGATTTTAATGCTTCAGCAAACCAGGACATTTTGGACAATTCTATGCTTCCTACTCTATGGGAACAGTTTGAGGAAGGCACTTTACTATTCTAGCATGACTGTGCATTGGTGCACAAAGCAAGGTGCATAAAGACACGGTTGGGTGAGATTGGTGTGGAAGAACTTGACTGGCCTGCACAGAGCCCTGACCTCAAACCCATCAGTGGGATGAACTTAGAATGGAGGTTGCCGGCCAGGCTTTCATGTCCAACATCAGTGCCTGACCTGACAAATGCTCTTCTGGATGAATAGGTAAAAATTCCCACAGACACACACCAAAATGTTGTGGAAAGCCTTCCCAGAAGAGTGGCAGGCATATTTATATTTATAGATTTGGAATGGGATATGGCAGAAATACGGGATGCCCCCCCCACGCTTAAATTATGTGGGGTCTCACATTGGCTGTTTCCTTCCCTCTAGTTCCTGCAGCGTGTGCACTGTGACATGCTTGTTTGCCAGGAAGTGGCGAGCTGTGGTTTTTTTTTTGTTCCTTAGCAAAAATCTGTCTGGGGTACTGAAACTGAAGAACAAATTCTGCACAGATAAGCTTTCAACCTGACTTTAGCTAACAAATGGCTTTACCAGGAATAAAAATTATATATATATATATATATATATATATATACACACACACAGTATAAAAAAAATCAGCTGGTCAAAAAGATTCTAAAAAGTCTATAAAAGTAAAGGACTGAATGCTCAATGTTTTCTCAATGGGTCAGAGGGAGAACAGTGGCATAAGGCTGGTATGTAGCAACCTCCAGGTTTGTATCAATCACAGGTGCAGCGACAGGACAGACAGGGCAGTCAATGGCCTGGGGCCCCAAGCTGGGAGGGGGGCCCCTGAGGGCGGCCAATTACACATAGTATTTTGCAACGACAAATCTGCTTTATTTGTGTATTCTGTTTCTCACAAAAGTGATAATAAATGCTTTGTGTTTATTAAAGTCTCTTTGTTGATATTATTAACTTACGCTTCACAGTAAGGTAAAGGTAATAAATGTTACCATACCGGGGGAGGGGGAGTTGGGCCCCCCCCAGTGTCCCTGGAATCCCCTCTAGTCAATAGACACATTAATCAACGCAGTTTAGCTGCTTCTCTTCCTCTTCATGATAAATAAGTTAGGGCAAGCTGGGCTGACACGGGTAGGACTTGAGTAACACCTGTGATCGGCTGTCTTTGTTGTCCCTTTGTAGTTTAACTCAGCAGTTTGTGTGGTTTTGTTCTCTGGTCTTTTTCTGCAGGCATACTTTCATTTTAAAGGGGACTTTATTTTGGATGTTTCATTAAATAGAATCCCTGCTATCCCGCCTGTCACTCTTGCCACTTTAGAAGGCCGCTACCACACAATCTGCCAAATTACACGTAAAATAATTGAACAGATACAGGAACCTAGAGAAGTAGGGCAAAGGAAGCTGACAGTGAGGCTCTGAGTTGCAGCGTTGATGCACCTTCCGGGCCAGATCTCTACCGACACGTGTGTGGGCTGGATGCTGAAGCTGGTGGTTTTTCACTGCCTGAGAAACAGCTATTTCCTGTGCAGACAGCGGTGGAGTAGCAGCGCTGTGGCCTCACTGCTGTGCGCAGTCAGACTTCTGCTTCCTCACCCGTGTCCCCAGAGCATGGCTGTCTGCACCACGCTGGTGGCCATTGGCCTCGTAGTCTGTACTGCTTTCTCTAAAGGCATATCTACACAGGTCTCTCCATTATTTGTCTTTCTCACTCTTGTAGCAGGTAAGAGTTTTTTTTTTTTTTTAAACGAACGGGATCCTAGAGAGGCCAGATAGTCAAGCAATTGTGGGGTTTCTTTGTGGGTTGTGTGTCATAATAAGTCTCTATTTTAGTTAATAGAGGGCAGGCAATGAGCTTCAGAGAGATATTCTGATAATCTGTGAAAATCAGCAGAGGGCAGGAATGCTGGGGGGGGGGCTCCATTGTGTTCATGGTTTACTGATGTCAGTTTCTCGTATACATATACACACAGGTGTGCATATACAAACACATTGTTCTGCTACTCTTTGCAATGACTTCTAGAGACTTCACAACTTGTTGAGGTGGCATATTTTTTCCATATTTATTTTACACAATTGAACATAAAATACTTCTAATGTTATTTTTCAGAATGCTGTTCAAGAGGGACTATTAATATCTATTACAATGCTAGATGTTTGGATTGTGGTATATTTCTCAGATCTTGGTCCTTCATGTCCTGAAGTATCTTAACACCATGTCTTTACAAAACTCCGGCAGTCATAGAAGGTCTCAGCTTTGACTTTCTACTTCTTCTCTGCATTGTGCTTTTGCCGCACTCTCCTCACTCCTGTCTGGCTTCTTGTGGTGTTGCACTCTTCTGCTTCACGCTGCTCTGGATGGGACACTAAATGCTGCATGCAACAGAACGACATCAGAAAACAACACTCCAGTCTTGCTGTCACTTTTAAAACCTCATATGAATTGGACAACCAAAAAGCCTTAGTCAGAGATTCAGGACTGGGTGAAATTTTTTCATTACATTTGGCTCAAAGTAAAACAAGCACACACTGTTGTCTGTAAGCGACTTAAGGGATTCCCATCCAAGAGAAGGATCCTTAAAAAATGTATAGAAAATTGTGCAATGAAAACTTGTGTCTCATAGAGATCATATGCAGGCAGTCCCCAGGTTATGAACGAGATCTGTTCCCTTAGTCTGTGTTTAAATCGATTTTGTGGATAAGTCAAAAAAATGACAATACTGTACATAATATCAATAATAATACAGTAATAATAAAACCAACTACCTACGGTCCTGTACCTCAAGCCGATGAACTGCTGAAGCCACGCAATGTTGTCATGACATCCCAAAGTAGTGTGTGCGTTCATTATTACAAATCATTGTATTTAACTTGAATTTTTTTATATAATAGGCCTTATGGCAGTCGATTTGTAAGTACGAGTTGTCCGTGAGTAAGTTGTCCTTAAACCTGGGAACTGACTGTAATTGATTTAAGGTAATTTATTACATGTGCTGAAACGACTGGAAACCCTTGTAATACGTATTTACATAACTATGAGGTCAATGGCAACTAACCAAGGGTTTAACAATAGCTACTTAACTGTATTAGTCTCTTAAAGTCATGCGATCTGGCCATCAGGACTTCACACCATCCAGGTGGACTACAGAGAGGAAGTGAATGCTATGGTTGGGGAGAATGTTAGCCTGCCGTGTGAGATAGTTAACTCTTCTGGAACTATGGTGACCATGCTTGAGTGGAAGAAGCAAGAAGTGGGGCAGCAGGCCGAGAGCCGGCTTCTGGTCCACGCCCCTACTGCCCAGACTCACATGCACAGAGCCAACATCTCAGTCAAGCTAAAGAAACGCCAGGAGAAACTGACGGGATCGATCCTGCAGCTCTATAACGTGAGCGTGTGGGACAGTGGCAACTACATATGCACTCTCAGCACCTTCCCTAATGGAGCTATCAGAAGCGTGACACACCTGCTGGTCAAAGGTATGACTCATTAAATTTATTTTTGTTTAGCTTTCTGTTCTGAAGAGCTCAGTGATTTCAAGCGTAGGATTCCACCTTTGCAATAAGTCAGTTTGTGAATCTTTCCTGCTAGCCATTCCACAGTCAACTGTTAGTGGTATTATTGCAACGGGAGCGTTTAGGAACAGCAGAAACTCAGCCATGAAGTGACAGATCACGTAAAGTGACAAATTGGGGTTGCCGAGTGCTGAGGCACATAGTGCATAAAAGTCACTGGCTCTGACAACTCAGTAACTGCAGAGTTCCAAACTTCCCCTGGCATTAACCCCAGCACATAGTCTGTGCGCCGGGAGCTTCATGGAATGGGCTTCCATGGCCGAGCAGCTGCATGCAACCACCCCTCTGGAGCAGTGGAGACATGTTCTATGGAGTGATGAATCATGCTTCTCTGTCTGGGAGTCTAATGGCGAGTCTGGGTTTGGCAGATGCCAGCAAAATTTTACCTGCCTGACTGCACAGTCCTGCTGTAACATTTGATGGAGGGGGTTAATGGTATGGGGTTGTTTTCAGGGGTAGGGCTAGTCCCAGTAAAGGTAAATGCTTCAGCATGCCAAGATATTTTGGACAATTCTTCCTTATGCTTCCTACTTTATGGGGACAGTTTGGGGAAGGCCCTTTTCCAACACGACTGCGCCACAGTGCACAAAGCAAGGTCCAAGACATGGTTGGGTGAGTTGGAAGAATTTGACTGGCTCGAGTAGAGCCCTGACCTGAACCCGATCTAACATCGTTGGGAAAAACTAGAACAGATTGCCACCCAGACCTTCATGCCCAACATCAGCGCCTGACCTCACAAATGCTATTCTGGATGAATGGGCAAAATTTCCCAGAGACACACTCTAAAATCTTGTAGAAAGTCTCCCCACAAGAGTGGCAGCTGTTATACTGTAGCTGCAAAAGGGGGGGGGGGGGGGGTTAGAATGGGATGTCATAAAAGTTCCTGTAGGTGTAATGGCCAGGTGTCCCAATACCTTTGTTCATATAATTTATGTATGGAAATAATGCAGAACAACCAGGTCACGTTATTGATAAGATACACAGAAAAAATCAGGGCAATTTAATGCAGAAGTGCAAAAAACAAAGGGTGTTTATCTATGTCCATACCTGACTGTTCTTGTGTTCTTGAATACTCGTTTGACGTCATCTGCCATTGCTGAAGTACAGTTCCAATACTCAAAAACAGAAGTTTGGAGGACAATCAAAATCCCCGGATGTTGTTCTTGCGATGCCCAAATTACCAAGGATGCATTGGTTGTTTCCGCTCCAACAAGAACAATCCCATAATTCATTGCTTCCTAAATTCGTTCTTGGAAGCCAAGTTAGCACGAATGCTCTATGTGTTCTTGGTATTGATAAACACGTGCTAATGACAATATACACACAACAGCCAATTCACATTAATGATCAGGTAGACAGAAACAATCAGGGCACATTAATAATGAGGCATACACTCCATGTACCCTCAGATCATGTCCATCCACTGGATATCAAACTGTATGCCACTGTGATGAATCTCGATTATGGGTTGAAAGAGGGGGACCAAGTGACCATCTTCTGCAACAGTACCCCCCCTGCCGACACCTACACCCTCAGTCATTCCCTGGTAAAGAGCTCCTCCCTTACATGCCCACCAGCCTCGTCTTGTATGTGATCATTTCACAATGCGTATTTTTCATCACAAAAATCCTGTTTTTTCAAGTCTGAAAAGAGCATTGAATACCCAATGAACATTTCCTTGACTTTCAGAAAAATACATCTGTGATGTGGAGCCAGGATGGGATCTTCACTCTGGCAAACGTGACGAGGCACCACAGTGGCCTCTATGTCTGCCAGCCCAGCAGTCAGTCGTCTGGCCTACTTTTCAAAAACCACAACATCACCATCAATCTCACAGTCCACTGTGAGTAACACATTTTGCAATGAAGCCACCATTAGTCATCATCATCACCTAGTGAAACCGTAGCTTGTTTTTCATCTTCTTAATGCCTAATTAAGTGCCTTGTGCCTAACAAAATGATGTACCCTTACCTCTCCCTTGCAAAAAAGTTATGGATGACCTAAGATGTAACAGCAGGGCAATCCAGGCTGACACTGGACAGAATGCTACCCTCTCCTGTGTGTCTGACGCATCCTCGTCACTGAGGTACACATGGACCAAGGTGAGAAGTCACTGCCATGATCTCACAGGACATTTATATTATGCATATAAACATGAAGTGTATCAACATAGTGTACATAATAGAAAGATAGAAAGTGAATAAACATGAATTATATGAATGTGTATTATGTTGTGCAAGGGACTATACAATTACAATTATTCAGAATAAATCATAAAATAGCCCGTGTGTTGTGATTCGTGAGAGCTGTTACATAAATCAGCATTCTCTAAAGCTTTATGTGTTGCTGTCCCTTGTCAGGATAATGTGACCGTGTCTAACTTCAGCCTGCTTCAGCTCTCGGGGGTCAGCGAGAACCAAGCAGGGATTTATACTGTGACCGCAACCATGGTTGCCCCCCCCCAACTGCAAAAGCGAGCTGTGGTAACTGTGACCGTGCATAGCCACGTGGGTAAGTGTTACTACTGTCTGATCGATGTTGAATTGTCTGACGAGTGGCTTGAAACGTGTTAATATTATCACCGTGATAAACCGTGTTTATATTATTACCGTGTTAAACCGTGTTAATATTATTACAGTGATAAACCGTGTTAATATTATTACCGTGATAAACCGTGTTTATATTATTACCGTGTTAAACTGTGTTAATATTATTACCGTGTTAAACCGTGTTAATATTATTACTGTGTTAAACCGTGTTAATATTATTACCGTGTTAATATTATTACTGTGTTAAACCGTGTTAATATTATTACCGTGTTAATATTATTACCATGTTAAACTGTGTTAATATTATTCAGGACCTAGACAGCTACACTAATCGTGTGTCACTCTATGGATTAGACCATTAGACCTCGGTGCTTGTGATTGGACGATCACCAGTTCAAACTCCAGGGTCAGCAGAATAGCCGCATCGCTGTTGGGTCATTGAGCAAGACGCTCAACCATTACAAATGTCACACAGGCACCAGATAAATGGCTGGTCCTGCTCTCTGACTCCAAACTTCATTCTAACCTGTATATTTGTATTTCTCAAAGCAGTGCAAGACAGCAAATGTGAAAACAATTGTGCTTGTAGAAACAGCAAATAAAGTACGATTATCGTACAAGCTGGATAAATTCTGGTCTAATTGAGGCCGTTCCTCTACTGACCTCTAGTGGTGAACACAGAACAGAGATTGAAGCTGGTAGGTTGTTACAGGAGCAGCATCCCATGATCGGTGTCGCTGTTCACAATGGGTGTATTTGCTGAAATCTAGAGGACAAATTCAGAAAAGCATGTTCATTTTTGGGACTGAAAAAGGAAAACAAAACACCAGTTTAATCTACTATCTTCCATTTACTTTCCAGTAATTCTTTGCTATAGATGGAAAAGTTAGAAAACCCTGTGTTTTTCCCTCTTTTTCCACAAGGCCCCACCTGGCATGAAGCAGACAAAACTTATGTAACAGAAGATAAAAGTGACCCCCCCCAGAGCAGCATCAGCTCCACAATGCCTGGCTCCACATTCACCCAATGGGGGATGACCCCCAGTCCTAGGACGCCACAATCTGCTCCGGAGAATGGAACAACAACATACTTCACTGGCAACAGCACGACACAGCCAGCCAACGAAACCACGCCGTGGTCGGATCTCAATGCCACGCTGACCCTAGGGTTTGGCCTGCTGTCTACTGCATCACCGACGCTTGATGGGACCGCCACGAATCTGGCGACATCACCCAAAGTTAACGTCACACATTTGTCAGGTACTGCTTCAAGGACAGAAACCGACTCATGGCACAACCAATCAGCAAATCTCTAACACCGCTCACATCTCTTTTATGGTTTCTTACATGAACTTCCATTTGTGCCCTCGCTGCTTCCACTGTAAAGGGACCAGTAAAAGGACAGGGTTAGCTACCTTGTTCTCCTTCCTTGTCCTGGCAGCTGTCGTGACTGGTTTGTACACACGATACAGGATACAGAGACGGTAAGTCATGCTGTGTCTCTCAGCACCCTTTGACAGAAATCAACATATAGGCCTACTGATTGAATTACAGCTTTAACGATTTACATTTACTGATTTAACACCATCTTTCATCTAAATACCACATACACTCACCTAAAGGATTATTAGGAACACCATACTAATACGGTGTTTGACCCCCTTTCGCCTTCAGAACTGCCTTAATTCTACG